ATATTAGTTTCACCTTTTAAGTTGCATTATTGAAATAAATGAACTTTTGCAAGATATTCTAATTTTTCGAGTTTCACCTGTAGTCACAGAGGTAAGTGTCTTAATTTATAGAAAGTAATGGCAGAGTTTAAACTTGCAGTACTTTCCTTTTTGTCAGAGCTCAAAGATCCAAAAGTCATAATCATTTGGGACAAAACTGTGATGTACTTAAATGAGATCAGAAATAAAAGGGCAGATGGATGATTAAATGATTTAGTGTATCCCATGAAAATGGTATAATTATGTAATGCAATGGATCCCATTACAAGATATTAGGCTATCTTGGAACCTTAATTGTGCAGGACAAATGCAATTTTGTCACAGTTATATTATTTTAAATCAGAAACCATCAACTATCTGCTAGAAAAAAATCTAAAATATGTGTTCACACCAGTTTAAAACGTTTATTTTGTCTATTCTTACTTGGTGATACTTAGTAATAAACGCTATTTATAATAAATGAATGTTTAATAAAACAACCAAGGAGACAAATATAGTTTATCATGGAAAATCTAAATATTTCCAGAAAACATTAAAAGAATCACAAGAGGGTTGCCTGCTCTATGCACCATTCTGTGTTCTTTGTCCTTCACAGACCAGAAATGAGCAGTGTTTGCCCCTTGAATTCTGTTTTGTGGCCCTATAACCTCCAAAGATTCACCCCAATTCCTCCAAAACACACCACGAAATATGTGATGCCATTCCATGCACTTAGCTTCCCTCTGGCCTGAAAAATGTGGCCCTGGCTTCTTGTTCTGATGGCACTGTTTTTTTTTCCTTGCTGGGCCAACCAGCAACAGAGCTTTCTTCTTAAGCCCCGCCCCCCTCTGCTCTCTTGGCTCTCCTTGTCCTTATTCTTCCAATTGCATCAGCTATCTTTTTTTTACAAGTTTTTTAATCTGAAAAACAAACCAGTTCATTTGGACATTAACATTTAGTACCATTCACAAGTACATCCAATATGGTTGTTTAAGATTGTTGCATTATGGACATTCTAGATTCCCTGCGACATGATATGCTTGCATTTTATGTACAGAGTTTCTAAACAGGTAAGTCACTGAAATTCTACAGCTTATAAAAATTCGACACCTTATAAAAATTATAGTTTAGTTAATTTCTAAATAAAGTCCATATAAGTTTAAATGGCCCTCAACAAAAATGATTTCAATTTTAAATAACATCATAAGCAGTTGTAAAAAAAATGTGTAAAAAACCTTCTAAGTACAGTTGTGTTATAATTATTGTCACTAGCTGAAGAAATATTTCTCTGTCTATTCTGCCAAAAAGCAACATATTAAATCACAGGTTACAAGGCTTTAAATTATTTGTTATTGTTCTATGAACAAGCAACAATCAACACTGACAACAAGAGGCCTGTATAGTGAATGACTGCAGGTGTGCAGAGAAAGCCTCTGTTCCTTGAAACCACATGGAGATCAGAGGCAGGAGAACTTCAGTTTTGTGACTGCACCTCTTTCATCATTTACTTTCATTCAATGTTACAGCATTCGTCCCTTTAAAACTCGATACTTTTACTTGCTACATTCTTCACTACAGCAGGAAACAATTCAGATGCATTTTTTTCCTGTGGCAATCATTCCAACAATCCTTTTTATAGCCTCCAATTTAGCAGAATATTGTTGTTTTCCAACATCTGCTTAAGATCTTCATTTTTCTTGCCATCGCTACTGAAGGCCGCTGAAGGAGCGGTGGAAGCTGTAGTGGGTGCCGCCTCTTGGCCCACCTGCGGCTGAACATCCCCGGCCTGCTCATTGTAACCAACATTGTTGGTCAACATCGTCCGCCGCACCGTTACCGAGCCCCGCACCAGCTATCTTGAGTCTTCTCCCTACTATCATATAAAAGAGGAGAGGGCATTCTATTAGCCTCTTATCATTGTTTAGATACCTGCCCTCTTAGGGCTTAGGAGATAACACAGATATTCCTGACTTGTAATGGTTTGTTTAGTAACCATTTGAAGTTACAATATGCACTGAAAAAAAGTGATTTATGATTGTTTTTCACACTTATGGCTGTTGCAGCATCCTGATGGTTGTGTGATCAAAATACAGATGTTTGGCAACTGACTCATAGTTATGACAGTGACAGTGTCTGAGAGTCATGTGAACTTCAACCTTCTAGGGAAACCAGATTCACTTAACCGTAATACCAATTTAACAATTTCAGTGATTCACTTAACAACTGTATTACTAACTTAATAATTTCAGTGATTCACTTAACAACTGGGGCAAGGAAGGTAGTAAAATGGGGCACAACACACTTAACAACAACAAAATTGAGTTTAATTGTAGTTGTAAGTCAAGGACGACCTGTATTGATTTCTCACATTTTCGGGGATTGTTCCTCTGGATTCATGGACAAAATTCTCTCCCTGGACTTTCCTTGGCAGGTAGCACTGACATCCTTTCCCAGGTTGGCCTTATCACCTAATAATATTCAGCATCTGATCCCCATCCCAAATCTATCTTCATTGGTTAATCAAAATCTGTGAATGTCTATGGCAGAACAATGGAGCCAGGCATAGGCAAGACTCCTTCTTGACTCCTACATCAATATAGTCACCTATTTTTTTTAGAAAACATCATTAAATCTGATCCATGAGAGCAGCATACTGTATATGCAGAGCCCTCACCTCCAAAACCACATATTAGGAAGTGTTAAGTCCTGGAGGTCGCAATTAGCAAAGTTGCTAAAGAATCAAAGTGTTTGGATATGGCTGATAGATTTACTTATCTTTAAAAGAATTAAGAGTTTCTCTAACCACTTTTCTACATTTGTTTGACATGATAAGCTAAAACGTGGTTAGCCAGTTTGCAATTTGGTGTTTTCTGCAGATCCAGTCCTTGTTAAGTATTCTTCACTTTTGAATTGATGTCACATGTAGAAGAACCTTCTTGGACAATCCTAGATGGAAATTAGTCATTATCAGACAGCTACAAAAAGCTCTCTAAATCATCAAAAAAGCCGAATAAAATATGCTGCTATAAGAAAAATGTAAAGTTCATTTTAGGAAAATATCTCAGCGCAACATCTCTGAGGGAGATGGGCAGTTAATAAATAGGAAGTATAAATAAATAAATAACAAGGATGAGGCTACCAATAATATATATTTTTTTCATTACAGCTGCTCTAGTTTAAACCCAGGATGCGACTTCAAATATATCTCTTTATCTGGGTGTGCAGTTTCAATGTTATTTCTCTGTTCCCAATCCATACAAATTGTAACTAGGTAGATTTCATATTTTCAGCAACATCTCATTTTTGATTTCTTTCTCCAGGTCCTCAATTCCATGCTTTACAACATCGTGTTTTCTTTTTCCGAGGAATTTTAGACGTATTGCTTAAAAAAATGGGTTGAATTGACAGGGTTTTTTAAAAAAAAGAACAACCACCAAAAGGGAGTATTTAAACAACTACAGGATACCTTTGCAATTTCAGGGCCCTATTTCAACAGAGGAAGTGCGAAGCGAACTTTTCTTGAGAAACCTTTGAAGTCCCGTTTGCCCAAGGAGGATGTTGCATTAGACGAGCCCTGGGCGACCTTACGCCAATGGCCAAGGAAACGTTCAAAAGTTTTCTAACTTTTGTTTCCTTGGAATCCGAGGGGCCCCGGTTGGAAACTGAAGGCGCCACTTCTGAAAAACAAGGCAACGAGAACTCTTCCGTGCGGGGCTGCGGAGAAAATGGGGGCGAAGGGTTCTCGGGAGCTTCCAAACTCCCAGCTCTGCTCTAACTGGTGTCGTCGTTGCTTCGAATTCCACGCTCACGTCGTTAAGGAGACCAGCCATTAAAGCGTCTCTGCCTCCAGTTGCTCCGGGTTGTGGTGGAGTCGAACCACTCGCACTTTGGAGGTCAGAGAATAGCTAAACCGCCCAAAGAAAAAACGAGGGCGCCGAAGGAAGGAAAGTCCGGGCGGGGATTGGAGCAAATCCCAAGGGTAGCGGAACCAATCTCGCGTGTCCAGCCCCTCCTTTATGCAGGGCAAATCCGCTGTGGGAATTCGCCTCGACCCTCCTTAAAGATCTGCTTCTCCTTTCTCAGGCGCGGCGCCCCCCAGTGTTCGCGGAGCTGCAGCATTAAGTGAGCCTCTTCCAGTCCGACGGCGGGAGGGGCGGGTGGGTGTCCATCACCCCCACTTACTCCGGCTCGTGGATTTTCCTCAGAAAGAAGTGAGGTCGAGGAACAGATGGAGGGACGGGAAGTTGAGACTTCGCGGACGGCTGGCGCCCGCGATCGCTCGCTCTCCAGGGACAGGCAAAGCGGGGTGGGGGGGGGGGTCGCGCGGCGGGAAACTCTCGGAGCCTGCTTGAATCGGAGTTGAGCAGCATCGCGCCTTGTTCCGGATTGAACCCACGCGATTCACCGCTACTTCTCTCTCATCTATCTATCTATCTATCTATCTATCTATCTATCTATCTATCTATCTATCTATCTATCTATCTATCTATCTATCTATCTATCTANATCTGGACATATCTCTAACAATCTTTGGACCATTGTATTTACTCCTATACTTAACAGTGTTGCACCCAGGTAAACCAGGGAGTGACCCAAACAATTTGAGAACATGTATGTTATTTTCCACTTTTAACGACAATACTTTTAAATTATATCTTAATGTCAATACTTTTTAACATATTGTAAAAACTAATGTGTATTGCTGGTCTTTGACCGTAATAAAGATTTACTTACTGTCGTGATTCATGCATCATATTTCTTCCATCAGACTATAGTATTCTATTATTACCACTGTTCCTAGATTTTAAGAGGGGATTTTTTTGGCATTTCCAATCTTATGATCCAATGTTGAGTAGACTGTCCCCTGTCTGAATGATAGTCTGGTTAGAGCTATCAGCCTCCTATAGCTTTCCTTGACATTTTACATACGTACTGTACTAGGACTAACAATAAAGCCTTTACTGTTTTAATAAATAACCCAAAGCATCTCTTTGGTAATGTCCCTTCCCTTTTTGCCTCAAAGCCACCCTCTTTACTCTCTACATCTAACTCTAGTGGCTATATATCTCATTGCAAAAATTGCAGAGTAACTTTCCATTTTGAAAGTGATCAGCTACCATTATTAAGACTTTTCATTTCCATAAAAAGTGAGTAGAGCCACCAGAAATCTCTTAGGAATAAGAAGATACCATTGGAGGGTATCTTAGATCAGTGTGGATATATAGGTTTGGCCACAAATCAATTTTTTGAAGTTCCACAAGTTACCCAACTGAATCTATCACTGTTGGTGTCAAATGAGCATCTTGAAATAATCTCAATTTTTCAAAATCTCATTAGCTTTGCTCAAAAATATATTTAACCTTCTCCTACCTGATCTTAATACCAACCCACTAAGAGATCAAAACCCTATTATGATAAGGAATGTACAGCCCGGAAAGTGCTTGCATATAGGAATGGCCAGAACAACTAATAATTTTAATACCTGGTTTAAAAAAAAAATCATAAAAATAGAGCTATTATAACTAAATGAAGGAAAGAACAAGTTAGTACTAAAAATCTGAGCCAGGAGGTTGTAATAGGTTGTAATGAATAAAGATCATTGTTTGTTTTGGCAGCTTTTCTAAATCTATAGTTAACATAAATACCAATACTCATAATTATCATATACTTGGTGCTATACTTCATACTTGGTACACACACTTCTGAGGTCATTTTACTATCCAAGACAGTATCCTTAATATTCAGTGAATAAGTATCCTCTGAATCTTCCGCTGAATTTTTATTTAAAAAAACCATAAAAAAGTAATAAAACTCCTGTCAAATATTTAATCCCATCTGAATTTTTAAAGCTAAATCCAATATGGTGGGAATTGGTGTTAGCTTCTCATTTGAATGTCATATATTGTATGTATACCTAAGGAGTGTCTTAATTCGATTACTCTCCCAATATAATGTTTAGAGTTTAGAGTAATTTATTTATATGCTGCCCTTTTCCCTGGGGGGACTCAGGGTGGCTTACAACTCGAGAAGGGAGGGAGACAAACAATTGACACATAAGACAATACATCATTAAAAGCATGACATTCATACTATTCGGGTGGGTTACAGTCTTTAATCCCAGGCCTGACGGGATAGCCAGTTTTTAAGGGCTGTGCGGAAGGTCTGGAGGGTGGTGAGGGTACGAATCTCCACGGGGAGATCGTTCCATAGGGTCGGAGCTGCCACAGAGAAGGCTCTCCTCCGCGTAGTTACCAGTCGACATTGACTGGTAGATGGGACTCAGAGGAGGCCTAATCTGTGGGATCTAATTGGTCGGGTGGAGGTAATTGGCAGTAGGCGGTCTCTCAAGTACCCAGATCCACTACCATGAAGGGCTTTGAAGGTGGTAAGTAGCACCTTGAAGCATACCCGGAGATCGACCGGAAGCCATGTTAATGATCATCCAGTCCTCTTTCAGGAATTAGCAAACTGTGTGCCCATTCTTATGTCATAAATGTTCAGATTGGCTACATTCTAAGAATATTTTTGTACTTGAGCAGTTTCAGATCTGGATTCTTTGCAATGAGCCAGCATATAATTCTGTATCATTTAGCAGAAAAATAACAGGAATCTCCCAAATGGAACCCTCTACATTGCCTTTATAGATCTAAAGGCGGCTTCTAATTTCATACCTTGAGAGAAAGTATGGAGAAAATTAGTAGTCTCCAAGATACCCTCTAGGGGAGAAACTACAAAGTGCCTAATGGCATTTTAATTTTCAAAAATTATTGCAAAAGACTGGCGGAGCTATCCCTATAGGAATTATTTGTAGGAGCTAAAGGTAAGCAAGCTCACAGCAGGAATCAGGTTGGCTCCCTTCACATTGCCTTGATGTGTTCCCTTAGGAGGCAAGGAGAGCCATTTCCAATGCTCTGCTGGTATGATGCCAGAATATGCTGCCTTTTAGTTATCTGGATTTAAGAAGTTTTTGAAGAAAAGTTTCTTGAACAAAAAAAAAATGTGTTTCCCTTTTCCTATTCTGTCCTATGTTATGGTAAAGCCACAAGTAATTTGATGCTAGGCTCCAAACCCCAAGAAAGATATCTACTTCTACTACATTGTAAGCAGTTTCATTTATTGTTTCTTACCTACAGATAGAAATCTTGCCAAACTAAAGCAATTACTTGCATCATTAAAGACATACTCTGAGAACTTATAGGGAGCAGCTATTTTGACTCTTTTTCTCCCAACCAAACTATTTCAGCTTCATGGTTTCTTGGTCCTCTGGAATGCAGCCCCTCACCCCTGGGAATCCAGACTACATTCCATCATTTCCATATCCTCGGTGGGATATAGTCTGCATTCAAACAGAGATATCTTTTAAACCTGGGGTCTCCAACCTTGACAACTCTGAGGAATTCTGGGAGTTGAAGTCCACAAGTCGTAAAGTTGCCAAGGTTGGAGACCCCTGGTTTAAATATTATTTTACTGATTTATCTTCGATGCTTAGGACACAATGCTCAAACTCTCTTGTGCAAAGAAGTCTACAGTAGCTTCAATCCCAGCGAAAATGTTGTTTGCCAAATGCAAACTGAACTCCTGTAAATCAGAAACTTGCTTTTTCTTGTTATAAAAGAACTGCTTCTCATTCTTTGTAAAACACCTTATGTGCTTCCCTCAATGCTTTCTTTACTTGTCACAAGAGATCTTAGTAAAGCTAACTCATTTAAACTTACGTTGAGTCTAAGTCATTTAAATTAAATCTAATTCAGTTAAATTTATTTGTTTAAAGTTTAATAACATTTATATGCCGCCCAATCCCGTAGGACTCCGGGCGGCTAACAATACAAACAAATCAAAAGGAAGAGAAGGAAAGAAAAGATAGATTTAAAAACACACCATTTGTGTTACATAAAGTGCTTTTCAGAGGGAATTAGTTCCCAAGGTAGCATTAAGAAAACCAAGATCATAAGGGGAAGTTGGGACAATGCATTAAAAGGAAACAAAATCAAAAATGTTTGCTATGGGTAAACAAAGGAGGTATTTATGCAAATAAAGTGAGTTTTACTGGAAGTGCAAACAGCTAACGCAGGGCTGGTAAACTGCAAAAAGAGGCTACATTTCAAGATGGGAGGGTTTTTGATGGAGGATGGCAGCATCAATTCTCATGCAATATACTGCGTGCTGAGGCATCAATCTGCCCGATAGGTATGCTTCGAAACCTGAAAAGCATTTAATCCTATTGCTACACTTTTTTCTTTCTTTTTACGATTTTGTAATCAATTGCTTTGGGGGTAGAGTCAGGGTAACTAACGGAGCTGAGCATTTACTGGCCAGATGCCCTTCCTGATGCCTACACAGAGTTCGCAGTAGATACTTTCTCTTTGCACCTTGATAAAGAAACATCTATCACTGCATAGGATTGAAATCAAAACTTTCTGAGTGAGAGGCAAGCATTTTCTGCGATTGGTTTGTCTTCAGACTGGTGCAGAATAGCAGTCCATTGATTGCTATATGGATATATTATAATCTTATAATTTTCAGCTTGTAGATGCACCCATTCCCCATGTAGTGTTCATCTGCACTGTGTTGCTGAGCAGCGTGGTAGAATATTTGTTATGGCTATTTTCTATCGCACTCCGTCTGTTCCTTCAGATAGCAATAGCAGTAGACTTATATACCGCTTCATAGGGCTTTTCAGCCCTCTCTAAGCGGTTTACAGAGAGTCAGCATATTGCCCCCAACAATCTGGGTCCTCATTTTACCCACCTCGGAAGGATGGAAGGCTGAGTCAACCCTGAGCCGGTGAGATTTGAACCACTGAACTGCTGATCTAGCAGTAGCCTGCAGTGCTGCATTTAACCACTGCGCCACCTTGGCTCTTGATCACTTCAAGCAGATAACCTTTAAAACAGAGGACATTTGCAAAGTATGTAGTATTGCACCACTTAGAGGCAAAGAGGGAATATTGCTTGCAGAGCAGTGGCAAAGGATACACTCACACTCACTCACACACACACATACACACACACTTTACATATATCTATATGTACACACACACACACACACACACACACACACACACACACACACACACACACACTAAACTCTATGTGTTCTAAGACTGGTATCTTTTTAAGTTTTCCTGAAGCTCATGGGCAAAAGTTGCATGAGATTTTTCCTGCATCCCACGCCATTGTAACCTTTTTCTTTTCTGGCCATTTAAGT